CGCCATGTGGTCACCTCCGGGGCAGGCGGGAATCGAACTCATGAGGAAGCGGCTTTAGCTTCTCAGTGCTGTGCTTTAACCCGCTGCGCCACCAGGGAGGGCCGCCTGTCGTATTTTTAAGCAGCAGAGCTCAGTTTGGTTCTTAGGATGTTTCCTTTTCACAGCGTCCCGTTCTTGTTTCATGGAGCGCTACTTCCTCTCTCGGAGTAGGTCAACAATAGGATGCGTGGAAGCTTTCTTCACCTGAGAAGTCTCTCCTTAGTGTTGCCTTTGTCTGCTCGACTCTGGCCTCAAAAATATTCTCACACTGAAGATAGGACCGCGGCAGCAGGTCAGTAGTCCTGCACAGACAGGTAGAATTTGCCGACTTTAGTCTGAGCTCTGGGGTCATCTGCAAAGTTGCTTCCTTAAAACTTTTCTTTAGGCGGCCCTCCCTGGGGGCGCAGCGGGGGAAGGCACCACACTAAGAAGCTAAAACCATTTCAGCGTGAGTTCGGTCCCCGCCTGCCCCGGGGGTGACCACAGGGCGCCGCAGACCTCTCCTGACCCGCCCGCTGCTCCCCTCGGCAGTGGACTTCGTCCATCTGCCTGTTCTGCTCCCCGCTCTGTGTTCTGCTCCCCTCTCACCGCCCCTGCACCTCTGGCCTGTACCCCCAGTTCTGTGTGCATAAATAAATAAATCTTAAAAAAAAAAACCAAAAAACTTTTCTTTAGGGCTGGCCAGATTTCCCAGGGAATAATCCACTAAAATAAAGGATGCTCAGTTAAGTATGAATTTCAGATAAACTTTTTTTAGTGTAACTATGTGTTATGCACATGCTAAAAATACCTGTCTTGTTTACCTGGAATTCTAATTTAACTGGATATCCCTGTAGAATCCCCCACTAAATCTGGCAACCCCAGGAGAGAAGATTCTCCGGGTCTCCTATTGCCGGCGCTCTGAAAGCTGAGAGAAGAAAACGGAAAGGCTGACAGTCGATTCTTACTAGAATTTGGGGTTCGACTGATCACCACTCATAAGCTAAAATGCAGGCGCCAAGGGCTGTGGGGGGAATCAGGGCTCCACTGCAGCAGCGCCCCGGGGCAGGCCGACCCCGCTCTCCGAGCCAGCTCGCTGCGGGGGGGGCGCGGGACTCGTGTGGGGAGGCGCTAAGAAAGGGGGTCCTGAGGGTCTGGTCAGGGGTCCAGAGGGGCCGGCAGCGTTCTCCAGGAATCGCACTCACACCCCTTTTTCTTTCGAGTTTGGTCTTGTCTTGTAAGCCCTGAGGGCCGGGATTCAGGGTGCCGCTCTCTGGGTACCCCTTCTTTCTCTTTGCTTTCAATTTGCAGAATCGCTAGGCGGCTTGGCTGGACGAGCTTGCTGGCTCCTGCCCAGGCCCTGACCGGGCTGGGCGGGAAGGAGTTTGCCTGGCTGCAGGGCCCCAGGCGCCGCTGCGGCCGCCGGACCAGAGCACCTCGCTGCGCACACTCTGCCGAGTCGTGTTTAAAGCTCCCTTTCCTCTCATTTAGGGGGTCTGACGTGGGGGCAGAGCGGGACGCATTTTATTTAACGCAAGTCTTGCCCTCTTGTCTTCTGGCACGGAAGCAACTTGCAGCTGACCGCCGCTGCGCTGCCTGCCTTTGCGCGTCCACTCTGGCTTGCTTGGGACTCCGGCTGCGCCTGGCCGAATGCGCTGTACAGCAGCCTGCACGCACGCTCACGTGGAGGTGCAGGTGCCTGGCCTGTCTCCAGCCCCGGGACACCACCAGCCCCGTTCTCTCCTGGCCAGCTGCCGTGATGACCAGTGCTTTGTGACGGTCACTTTAAACAATCACTGGCCGATCAACTAAGGCTAAGAAAATAAAAGACTTCTCCATATATGTATATGAAAGCAAACAAAGCGCCCCTCCCCTTCTGTCCCTCCACCCTCGCTCCGACCCTCTGCGCGCCCGCTACCCGGTTCCGTTCGTGGACAGGGTCTGTCTTCACGCTGTTTCTCCAGCCACTGCTTCGTTTCCTCACGCTGCACGGAGAGGCGAACTCAGGCGTGTCCGCCCCTCTTTGCCTCACCCTGTCAACTCAGCCCACGTTGTCAAAGTGGAAGCGTTTCGTCTTTCCTTAGAGCCGCGTGACGCTCCGCCCCTTCCTCACCCCGTCATCTCTCTGTGAGCTCTTTGCTGCCCTGCGTCTCAGCCGTTGAGAAGGACGTTTCGACGAATGTGGGTGCGTCCTCTTCTAGCCGGGGACCCCATGGGCCAGCGCCTGGAGCGGGTCACTGGGCCATGTGGTAGCTCTGCTGTCTTGTCTTTGAGGGTGGAAAGATGGTGTTTCACCCCCATGATGTCCTCCCTGGAAGCCCCCTCCCTTCACGTAGATCCACTGTGAGCTCCCGTTTTCCTCACCCCTGAAGAGGGTCTTTGAAGTTAGGGCAGCTGGCGATGCGTTCTGGCACTTTTTGTTTATCCGAGAATGTCAACATTTCTCCGTCATTTTTGATAATTTCACTGAAGAAAGAATTTTAGATTGGCGATTTTTTTCTTTTCACATTTTAAGTGCATCAGTCCACTCTTTTCTCGCCAGGATTTCTGATGAGAAAGTCCATGTGTGTCTCCTGTCTTGCCGCCCGGGGAGAGTCCCCTCTCTGGCTGTCTCTCCAGACTGACTCTGTGTCTTTTATTTTCCGGTTTGAAGAAGCTGTGCCAAGCTGTAGTACTTTGTTCCGTATTTGGTATCTCCGTGCTACCCTGGACACCAAGTCAGCCCACCTCTGGTAACCCGTCTACCACTGGTTCTGGAGACTTCTGGCCCGGTGTTTTCCCCGCGCCTTTCTTTTTCTCTTCCAGGCATCCCGCGTCGTGGGCGTTGCCCGTCCTGACGTCGCCCAGTTCGTGCCCATCCCGTTCCGCCTTCTGCCCTCCGTGCTCTGTCTCGGCGTAGTTTCCGTGGGCCCGCCTCAGAGCTCGCTTTCTCCTCAGCCGTATCCAGCTACCAGCGGGTCCATCACGAGCCTTCCTCACCTCTGAGCTGTCTGTTCTTATTTCCGGCGTCTCCTTTTGATTCGTAGAGTTTCTCTCTGTGCGTGCAGTGTCTGTGCGTTTGTCCTCGTGTGCTGTGTGTTCCCCCCCATGGAGCCCTTTACCCACTGGAATCCTCCTATGTCCAGCTCTGCTGCACTCTCACGTGCGAGGTGCTTCTCATGCTTTGTCTTTCGGACTGCCCCTTGCTGCCCCTGGGGGTGCCCCGCTGCCGACAGGCGGCCTGGTGCACTGGGGCGCGGGACTGAGGCGCAGGCTCTGAGCATGAGGCTTCGTGCTCGCTGGGCTAGGAACGGGCCGTGTCTGCCGCTGCCCCCGAAGGCTCCCGTCCCCTCCGGTTCCTTGGCTTCGTCTATATTCTTGGAACGTCGCTGCGAACTTCTCTCTAAATAGAAAAATCGTGTTTTGGGCTCTTTCCGTGGTGCTTCTTTGTGATTTTACCAGATCTGCGTTGCTGCGGCAGCAAGGTTTCGGGAGGGGGAGCTTCTGTGATACCACGGTCGAAGCTCGGCTTTTAGTATGTTCGCGTCCTGAGCTCGGGTCAGACATGGCTCTTAGTTGTTTTTTATTTTTAATCCAGTGGGTAAGACAAGAAGGTAAGGGGGTGAAGTGGCTGACCCCCTGTCCCCCACAAGAGGTGAGGCTTGGCAAGACCTCTGCGGCCTGTTTCTCAAGGATCACTGTTCCCCTGTCCCTGCCAGGGCTGAGGGCCTCATTCTCAGGTCCTAGCCATGACCATCTGGTGGGGTCCCCAAAGGCAAAGCCGTGGAAGGTGGGGCTCCTACGGCTGGGTCCCCGGGAGCTTTTGGCTCTCACCTGGGCCCATACGCAGCCCCCCAGGTTTTCAAGCTGCCCCTAGGAGTTCGTACCGGCTTATGGCTTCGAAGGCTGCTGCTCCAGGAAATCAGATCATGGCTTTTCTTTATTCCCTTCTCCGTCCAGATATCGGGGTAACGTTCCCCCCCGACCTCCACACTTGATGGGGTCGGGAAAAATCAGTGTTTTCCGGCTTGTTCAACTTCTGCTCATTGTGAGTCCGCGTGACCGTCCCAGCCCGCCACTTGCCAGGCCCCTCCTTTCTGCCGCTTCCCCTCCCTGTTCCCGCCTCATCCCATCTTTTGTCAGCTTCCATTTTATTTTAGAAACGATGGTTAAATCTAAGCCAAAACCAATGAGTTGGCTCAAAAACTCGCAGCCTGGTAGACAGCGTTTCAGAGCCACGACTCCGGAAACATGGCTGAGTGTCTAGGCCAAGAATTCCTTCTCGGGACTGTCCCCAAACTGCTGTGTCTGCCTCGTCCTCGGCGGGCCGGGACACTCGCGCATCTCTTCTAGGCCATGCGGGGGGAGTGGTTCCTCGCTGTGTGCCTTCCCTGGCCGCGGGGGCCCCCCAACCACCGCCACTTCCTGGGTACCTCGGCCTGCAGGGCGAAGTCGGCACGGCCAGCCTTTGGCGTTCCTCGCCGTCCTCGCCCACCTCCTGTCTGGCCCGCCTCTTCCCCAGGACCTTCCTCCCTGGGGCGCGTCCCTGCATTCCCCCGGCCTCACTGTGCCAGCCCCAGCGTACCCCAGGCTGTCCCCACGGTTCTCTTGGGCTGGTTACCCCGTTTCCGAGCCACACCCCTTTGTTTCCACTCTATTTTGCTGGAGCGCTTCCTGGAGAAATTTCCTAAGCAAGGGTGGGTAGGCAGCGCATCTCCTGTCCGAAATAGGTTTTACTCTCCTCCGAGCGGATCTCAGAGCTCCTCTAGGCAGGGAATCCTGGGGCGAACCCACTTCCCCCTCAGTTTTGAGGACCTCGCTCCATGTGTTCAAGCTGTGCGAAGTTGTGGGCTCTGTCGACAGAAAGGGCACCACTGGGCCCTCGTGCCCAGCTGTTCTCGCTTCCTTAAACACGCAGTCTGTTTCCAGCTGAGTAAGAATCCGCACGCATTCAAAGAACAGACCACAGAAAACTAGCGCCAGATAAATAATTAACCGGATGATTATAAGAGCGCCTCACGGACGCCCGGGCTTGCTACGGTTACATGCTGCAACAGAAGGACATGGAATTCCTCGTCCACCTTTCAAGGGGCGATCCACTTTTTTATGAATTGAAACCTTCATAAGGATCCATTGCTCGGGTGCTTGTTTCTTCTCAAAGACCTCTTGATGATAAACATCTCTGTTATTTGTAATTATATGTAGATTATTCTTCTCTGGATCCAAAATAGACTTTTCTAAATAATACTGAGATTAGCATATGCATTTGATTTTATTACTAAATTTTAATACCAAGTTGGCAATTTCTCCCGCTGATGAAATAGACTTGATTACCCTTTCCCTCCATCACGTGAGGCGCTGGCGGGGCCCTGGAAGGCCGCTCTGCAGCTGTGGGTTGGAAAAGCACAGCTCTTGGCCGGTTTCCTTTAGCAGAGCGCCATGTGAGTCACTGGAAACTTCTCTCTCCGGCGCAGCCACTTTGGAAGCTGTTGCCCTGCGTGGACAGCTGCCCCGGCCTGCCCGACTAGCAAAAGAAGGGGCAGGTGGTCAAGGGCCGCGTCCCCGAGGATGGGGGAAGGCGGCGCGCGTCGAGTGTGGCTCAGCCTTATTTTAGACCGCCTCCCATTTCTTGCAAATATGCTGCCTGTTCTCCCGAAACTCTTGGGTTTCAGCGCACAATCTGTTCTCTCTTCTGTGTTGGAGTCGAGGGCAGGAAGGAGCCTCTGTTTCCACATGGGTCTCCTTCTGCAGACGCTTGGCGTTTCTATTTGCAAAAATACAGAGTTACTCAGGCTTCATAAAGCTGCCGAGAGCGTTCAGCTGGAAGACTGAGCTTTGGCTGAGCTGGGCCGGGAATCTGACAGAGTCTACTGGGGGGCTTCTTCTCCCTGGTGCAGCCTCCGGCCCACCCCCCTCTTCTCGGCCTCCTCTGCTGTTCTCAGCCCAGACCCTCAGTGCCGGGGGCCCGTGACCACGGCCCTCCCAGCCCGCCTTGTCTCCAGAGCCGGTCTGGACACAGTCAGGCCCGGCGGCCGCGGCGCCGTCCGTCCTGCAGGCGGCCGCCGCTGCCCGTGGCCTGACCGAGGCCCCCCTGCCCGCCCTCCGCGGGTCTCCTCAGGTGAGGCGTGCCTCCGCCCAACAGGCGGCCGCCCGGGCCGCGCCCACGCACGGCCAGGGAGCAGAGTCTGGCCGCCACGCGTCTTGCGCTCAGCACGCGCTTGTGGGGCGAACGCGTGACGAGGCGGGGCGCTCTCACTGGTGCTAACAGACCCTTTTCTTTCTTCGGGCCAAGTTGGGGAATCCCTTGGCGTAACGATTGCATCAACTACCTTGACTTCTTACAAGCAGTGGAGAATAGCAAGCCGACAAAACCTCAGCCAGACACAAAGGAAGAGCCGGCGCCAGTCGATTTTTCGACACTGAGCCCAGAGGAAGTTCTGAAGAATGTCCAGGAGGTGGTCGCCGCCTCTGAGCTGGCCCTGGCCGCGGTATGGCTGCCCGGGAGGGCTTTTAGCGGGAAAACTGAAATTCTGGCTTTGATGGCAGCAGCCCTCGGGCCCCCTTTCACCGGTCTGCCCTCTGCCTGAGGGGGCAGGCGGGGCTGCGCCCTGGGGCGTGTCCTCGGGTGGACCGGGCTCGCCCTTCAGTAGATGCAGTGAAGTGGAGGGTTCCAGGCGGAGCGGGCAGGGGGCAGGCCCCGGGTGAGGGCAGGCTGGCGGGGCCCTGGCTCGCGGAAGGAGTGACGGCAGGTGGCCTCGGAGAGGTTGTCCGGGCAAGGCTGTGGCAGACTCATCGTGGGGAAGCCGGGCAGGGAGGGAGGGCGCGGGAAGGGGCTGGCGCGAGGCGCGCGGCCGGCCCTGGCCAGGCCCTCGGGGAGCAGGGCTTTGGCCGCTACCCACAAGTGCACTTCTGCAGCAGCACCGCAGTGAGGCGAGGGCGGGGCTTCCGTTTGGCGAGACCACGGGTCCAGCGCCGCCATGCGGTGCTGGGCACACAGAGGGCACAGCCGGAGTCGGGGGGCTGGGGCGGCCTGCGGAGCCGGGGACCGTGCTGGCGGAGCCCCGGGGGGGGACCCTCAGTGCAGGGCCCCGGGTGCAGGGCGGCGGAGAGAGGCAGCTCAGGACGTGGTGCAATGCCAGTGAACTCGCCTGACCCTGGAGGGTGGAGACTCCTAACCTCAGAGTTTTCTGTGAGGATTTAACATGTTAATGCTTTGTCTTAATGATAATTAGAGAAAAATTAGAATGAACCGTTATTTTTAAAATGAGGCGCCTGGACGCCTCCCTCCAGGGCTCCTCCCCAGTGGCCTGGGCGGGCCGCCTGGGTCACCCGCCAGGGTCCGAGGCTTGGGCGCGCACAGGGCCAGGGGCTGCTGGAGCCGCAGGCCCGTCCGGAGGTTTCTCAGCCCAGAGGCCCCGCTCGCTCGACCTTCGCGTTTTTCATGTTAGTTGATGAAACCTCCCGATTTCCAAATATCAGCGTGTATTTTCAGATTTTTCCCCAAACCTGCGGGGACAACAGGAAACATGTATTGCACAAATAGGCCCAAATTGCACAAGGGCGTCGCCCGTCTCACTTGAAGTGACCCCACGGAACAGCTCTCGGGGTGTTTCTCAAACTGAGGTCCGGGGGGCCCCTGGGCGGAGCCAGGAGGAACCCTCCTCAGGCCACGTGGTTTTTAGCGAGGAAGTGAGATTCCCGGCCAAGGCCGTGGCAGGTGTCCTGGCGGAGGGAGGGGCCGGGCGGGGCCGAGCGGGAGGTCAGAGATGCCCGGGCGCCCGCGACTCCCACCTGCCCTCCCTCCTGCCTGCAGCCGGGGTCCTGACGGGAGTGACGACCCCTTCTGCGGGTGTGGGTGTGACGCAGTCGTGAGCCGCTTGACGCCGACGCGGACGCCCCAGGCCCCGCGGGGAGGGGCCAGTCACGCCCACACTCGGCCCGGACAGGTGCACCTGGGCAGCTGTGGGGACCCCGGTACCCGTAGCCGGGGGCCGAGGCCACCGTCGGGCCACGGGGCCGAGGCCGCCCCCGCCACAGTGCTGGTGCCTTGCCCACCCCTCCCCCCGCGCCCCTCAAACGCGCGCCCCAGCCTGCCGGCCGCGGAGCCTCCCCCTTAGCCCTGGGGAGAGCGAGCCACAGGGGGATTTGATGAGGGGGCTGCGAACACATTAAAATCTTACTTAAAAAAAAGGATCTTAACCTACCACTTGATACAGATTTTCTGGTGCAATAAAAATGAATGGTTTTGCTTCGACAGATGGGGAATGTGCTTTCCTTTTATAGCAATTTTTGCACTTTTCCAGCTTGACTACTGTACCGCCGGCGTGGTGCCGTCCCCTCAGGCCCTCGGCGAGGCTCGGGCGGTGGTGTCTTCCCGAGAGCCAGCCCCGAGGTCCGGCCGAGGGCTGGGAACCTCACGGCCTGGGGGCGGCACGCGGGGACCCCAGCACCGCTGCTGGCCACTTCCATCCCGACGGCTGCCCGAGGCCCTGCCTGCCGGCATGGCGGCCCTCGGCCCGCTGCACCTGCTCAGCGCTGAGCGGGGCCGGCGGGTCGCAGTGGTCAGTCCTGGCAGTGGCCTCCTGCGAGCTGGGGCGCGCAGGGACCGGCCTCTTGGAGCGGGGGTGGGGTCCCCTTCCCCTTGCCGAGGCTCCTCGTCACTCCTCTCCCGCTTGATACCCAGACGGGGGTAGAACGCGAATCCCCCCGCTGGGGCCCCCGCCCGCCGCCCCTCCGCCAGCGGGGTGTTTGGAGCATCTTAGTGTTTCGTCGTGCAGCGCTTACGGGGACCTGCACTGCTCGTGCGGGTCAGGGCAGTGCTGCACGCAGCTGCTTGACAGTGGCTTCTGCCCGCCCCCTCTTTTTTTAGGCGTTTCTGGCCCTGGATCCAGAGGACACTGGTTTTGTGAAGGCTTCCGATTTTGGACAAGTTCTTAAGGATTTCTGTTACAAGCTCACAGATAACCAGTATCATCATGTTCTGAGACGACTGAGACTTCACCTAAGCCCCTACATACACTGGAAGTATTTTCTCCAGAACCTCAGTGACTTCCTGGAAGAGGTAAGGGGTTCCTGTAGCCATAAGCACCTCTTCTTCCCGGGGGTCTTTGCGAAGTGGACAGTTGGTTGAAACCTTGCCGGACAGGCTGGGCATCTCCTGGGCCGGGCCCTCGCCAGCTGAAAAGCGCGCCCCGCTGTGCAGAGGGGTCTGAGGGCAAATGCCCATCCTGCCGGCCACTTCTTCCCAACGACGTCGGGGAGGTGCCGTGCCTGATTCGTTTTGAGCTCTCGGGAACCTTAGAACCCT